ATACCCATGACCATGACCACCAGTTATGACCCTTTCGAGCAAATCTGTATCGTCGTTGACGTCATTCAGCAATTCCTGAGCAATTTTCGTTAAAATTTGAAACAAACTTCACTGTCACAGGTTTCATCCCCAAAATTTTCGAAAAAATTACATGGCATGAGCAATTTTCTGCATTTTCTCAACATTTTCATCAACTTGCTAGGCTAGTGCTTCGTCATTCACATCTTCACGACCTTCTGTGAAAAACTTGTACGCAGCCCGCGAAATTTGAATATTCACCTCATTTTTTGAACAGAACTCAAGTTTCCAGACTCAGGTCACGTCACTGGACTTCTAAAGTAATTCACTAATTATTATTTCACTCAACAGTATCTCGCTTATTTAATGAACATTTCAACTAAATACAACTATACTTTTTCTACTCTTTTAGTCCAATAGAGGATTACCGATGAAGTTTCATGAGAAAACATTAGATTAATCGAAGATGATGTAAAAATGAAAATTCAGCTTGAGAAATGGTTCTTATGGAGATTCTGTGAAACATGTTCTTCCTTACGAATCAGTAGATAGTTGTCCTGAAAATCTAGAGAAGAAAATTGGATTGGATAATTTAGGAAACACTTGCTACATGAATAGCATTTTAGAAGTGTTGTTCATGACGAAGAATTTCAAGTTTTAATGATGAACGAGAACGGGAATGTTTCCTACTTATTCATCAAACTCAACAACTGTTCATGCATGAAGCTGCAGTTTCGTAAGAAGGTATCATCTTTCCCTAACCTAACCCAACCGATTTCCTGAAGTCTTTGAAGTCCACTAGATACTCGTTAGGACAACAAGAGGATTGTTCCGAATTCTTGGGGTTCTTGTTGAATACTCTTCGTGAGCAAAACAATAGCAAAATCAATACTCCTGACCGCTCTGGACTGAATGATTCCGTACTGCCCATCTCGTCTTGTGTTTGTAAATCTTTTGCTGGAAAAATCCTCACTTGTTTACTTTGTGGTAAATGTTCAAGAAGTACCGAAAACTTATGTGAATTTCTGGAACTTCATCTAGCTTTTCCTAATATGACTAATAACCAATCCGTGCAGAGCTTATTGTTAAATCATCTGAAAATGGAATTATTAACAGGTGATGATCGACTGTATTGTCAAACATGCGCCAAACTAACTGACTGTTATAAGGAAACAAGTATAGCTGAGGCACCAGTCAATCTAATAATAACACTGATGATTTTCAAACAAGACTCAACCTCTAACGGAAGCATGAAACTCTTTGGGAGGTTCGAAATAGATGAACATTTCAACCTAGCAGACTACTATTATAATATTCATGCAGTCATTGTTCACTGTGGTTCTGGCGTTGAATTTGGTCATTATTACGCCTTGGCCAAAGACGAAACGGACTGATTTAAGTTTGACGATAGTCGTGTCACGAAGTGTTCTGGCGATGCATTGAATTTATTGGAGCCTCTGGAGACACCCTACATTTTGTTTTAAAAGAGAGAGGACAGTGTTAGATCAAGATCTTCAGATGATGTGGTGCTGCAGGTTTTTCCGGGTTTTCCTGCAGCTGAAAAAGCAAATGCGCCACTGGAATCAATGAAGTCGCCTCGGAGCGCCAATTAATTTTTTTTTGTTGTTTTTATTTTATTTTTGAAATAAACAATGTATAAAATATAAATGATCTTTATTACATTCTTAACATATAAGTCACATCACATTCTTCTTTTTGTTTGCACATTGATACTAAAGGAACGATAACAATTTTGCCTTAATGGTACGTTTTTACAAACATTTGCACTATATGGAACAAACCCAACTTAAAACTTACGATTATTGTTCAACTGCTTGGTATTGAACACAATACATGGGATAAAACAACTTCTATGCATTCAGTCCAAAACGAGATAAACTTCATTTTTGGCAGGAAATGTTAAAGTTTCCACAAGTCATCAAAATTAAAAGAAATATTATTATTTGAAACATTGGCATCGGAGACTAATAATGTATGAATGAGAGTTACAATTTTTGGAGGGACATTGTCACCAGATTCCCAGTAACCTTTAATTCATCTTCCACTTCTAATGAAACCGGATTTCCATAACACCAACTTCTCTTTTTCAATAACATATCACTTCACCCCCTTCTCAGAGCATCAACTTTTCAGTATATCTATTTTGCAGCAAGTGTGTTTCCATAATGCCCTGTTCCTAAGATATCAAAGTCCCAAAATATAGTGAATCAAGGGTACCAATTGATATTCAATTGCCATAAACTCAATTTCTTTTTACATCAATTTCCCTTTGTATCAATCCAGAGCATGTCGCATGTATCTTCTCTTGTAATATCTTAACGGATTTTACTTTTCAAAACACTTGTGATGCAACACCAGAAAAGTAGAGGTGGGGACATCTCCACCTACAAAAACGCCATCTATGAGATTGACAGAAAACTCGGAAGTTTTCTTTCGATTCCATAGATGGCGTCTTAGGGGAGACATATTTCAACCTTTATGCTGTTACAAGTTTGAATCCAACTAACGTGCAATATTTGGCAAAGTGATTAATATCAAAACTAACAAAAAATACTACTGTTCACTTGGTTTTTGAAATGCATGCCGAGAAGAATGTTGCAGTACTGATTTGTGTTAAAACTATGCATCAGTCGTTTTACTATCAGTATTCTTAAAGGGGACAAAATTCTTCCGGTTTCATCAATAAATTTGTTGTTTGAAACTGTATAGCAATATATCTTGGCACTCACGTTGCACAATTTCAACATTGACCCTAAGATTACTGAATGGAAATTTTGAATTCGGACTTCAAATTATAGTTACTCCTATGTGGGAAAAAGCAAAGACGACAAAGCCAACAATGACCGAGACTTGAATCAAAGTCAATCTTCGGCATCGATCGCTCCGCCTTTCTCCGCAGTTTTTGCTACAAGAGAACTACTCCTGTTAAATGAAACTTATGGCTCAAACAAATTGATTATATATGTAATGATTGTGAAAAAGAGCTCTCCAGTGTACAAAAACAGGCTTGCCTGATGGCATCTGCACCACAGCATCAGCAGCCTAAATCCTCCCCTCCACATCTTTCTGGAAAGGCTAGATGGACAACATACATTTTATCAATTGAACAAAATAGGCATATGTGGAGCATAGCACACTATTGGTTGATACTGAAAGTCACAGCATTTTACAGATGACCTAAGACTTGAAGCCTCTAACAAGCAACTAGGACTTGCCCTTATACAGTCCCGATTCCGCTGAAAGGACTAGATTATCCGAGGGGAAGTAATACTAGGACTTGCCTTATACAGTCCTGATCCCGCTTAGAGAGGACTAGAGGGGAAGTAATACTAGGACTTGCCTTATACAGTCCTGATCCCGCTTAGAGAGGACTAAAATATCCGAGGGGAAGTAATACCAGGACTTGCCTTATACAGTCCTGATCCCGCTTAGAGAGGACTAGAATATCCGAGGGGAAGTAATACTAGGACTTGCCTTATACAGTCCTGATCCCGCTTAGAGAGGACTAGAGGGGAAGTAATACTAGGACTTGCCTTATACAGTCCTGATTCCACTTAGAGAGGACTAGATTAGCCGAGAGGAAGGAGTACTGAGAGCAGATAGCTATAGGTTCACGGATGGATCAATAACAACTTCATGTTCTGGAGATTCAGAACAGATATATCAACCTGCCTAAGGATCTGGTAGAAACCAGCTTCAATAAAAATATGATCCGATGGCCAAGCGGCTCTGGAATTACTTGGATCTAAGTGAGCAGCAACTTCCTAATTGTTATTTGGATAGAAGGCCTCAAGAAATGCTCCGTGGTTTGGTCTGGATTTGTGGCCACCTTGATCAGACAGGTAATGAAGCTGTTGACTTTGCAAAGGAAGGGCGCTGCAAGCTGTTTCGTCGAAAAAAAACCTGTCAATGACACCACTTTAGGTTTTGCAAAACAATTACAGATTTCTTGGGTTGCAAGAAGAGTTTCAGTCTTTTGGCAAAATCAACGAGGATTGGCCCATTCCAAAGATACTTGTCTTCTGTATCATCATATGGAACAACTTGAAACCAGGCGTGCCGATTTCTTCTTGCTTTATGCCTGAGACGCAGCAGATTGGTTTTCACTGTTCAACAGTTTCATTCACGCCATTTGATCTGAAAGATCTCTCACCAAATAAGAAGCTGGACTTATTTAGTACATTTTGAACCTAACATAACTTACAGTGAAGTCCGAATTCTAAGTCAAAAATCAAAATCCCAAGTTAAAACAAATTAAGTTCAGAATTCCAAACTATGGAAGTAGTTTGGCCCTTCTACGATTCCACATATTGGCACACAAGTAGTAAAGAGAACAGGCAAAATGTTGTGACATAATCAAGTGTTTCTATTTGCTTTACTGATGTCACTAATCTAAGAATCCTCGAAAAAGTAAATACATCAAAACTGGAGTCCACCCACATCTCCATTTTCGGGTTTGTTTGCCGTGTACAGCAGAATATTATGGCTGACGTTTCATTTACAACTGCGGTAGACATGAACTAGGGCGGTGACGCAACTGACAGTTGCCTACACATCAACTGATTGGGTCTCTGGTTTTATTCTATTGGTGATGTAGCTTCGTTCCTATTAGTTGAATATATTTCCTGATACGTGTGCAGGTAACCAGACTTCATCGATGTTAATACTCTCTTATAACAGAATAATTAATTTCTGTCATTGAATCATTTTATTAGTAATGGTACCTCACTTTGTTTTAGATATCATCTACCTCTACTTGGCGACTTGGAAATATTTGCCCCATGGAAGAAAATCGCCCATCACAAATACAAGCTATTTCAGAATGCTGTCCTCCTTTTTGGAGAACTTTCAACTCTCCTACTACATCCTGTTGTGGAAACATATTTCCCAGTCAACCAAGCCAATTTCTTTCTAATCAATAAAAAATATTGTCGCCCGCTCAAGAATTTTTAGACACTCGCTCACACGCTACGAAAATTTTTATAAAAACTAAGCCCAAGAGGTGTATAAAACTGATATGACATCAAAGTCAATTCCGAAATTCAGCCATCGCGGATTTTTACGGGACTTTTGGCTCAGGATAGTTCGAAACCAGTATTGCAAGTCACGGCGTATCTCAATTTCTCGCGAAGCGTGCTTTTCTTTTGGTAGTTTGGTAACTTCAGCAGGTTAAAACAGGTCGATGAGGTCGGCAGGCGGTTTTGGGGATCTTTTTTTCGTATGGTGAAGAATCCTCTGAATACACTACCTGGAAACATGAAATACAACCGATAGTGAGTAAAGTGGCAAACGAATTGATAACATGACAATTACCGATTGTGTCTCCAGTATCCTCATCATCTGCAACTTCAACACATCTGATAGAAAAGGGGGGCTCCAGGTGTGCGAAGCCCAGTAGAGGAGGTTTGGAACAACTAGTGACAAACTGAAAATAATTTGAATTTTATGAAAACAATCATATGACCAATATTTTGGAAATATAACTTTGGCCAGGAAGTTTCTAGAGAGAATGGGGAATGCTCCTGACGAAAATCAAGTAATTTTCGTAAGAGAGCTCTAAAACAACGCATTTTAAACTTATCATTTCAACCTTTTTCTTTAAAAAATTATTTAAATACTTAAAAAAGAGGAATGAAATAATGCATTCAACATTTAAAGGGATTCGTTTCTATTTCACTATTTGGCAACATCAGTTATAGCTAATAAAGAACAATGAATCTGTTACCTGTATGAGAAAAACAAAGATGACATATTTCAGAGGCGTGCTGTTCTGTTTACTTATGTTCCGAGTTCCGAGACATTCTGTGACATATGACATTTTGTGCACCTTAACCTATCTTCCTCTAAATAAATAAATAACAAAACAACTGTTGTTTATGTGGCTTGTGGAGGTGGTATTGAACTATAATTTATATTTTGCCTTAATTGTTGATTTATAAAGATAATTTTCCGTTTTTAAAGTAGAATATCTAGGTACGTATAAATTATTTTAACTTGATATAGGCGCTGTTGCCAATATGCGAATTAGAAACAAATCCCTTTAATTGAAACATCAATTTGAATACTTTTCGAATTGAATTTGAAAAACTCATGAATTAAACTCATCTTTATTTTGTTCAAACTTGCACTTGCTGTAATGAACCAAATTGAGAAATATTCCCCATTGTCTGTTGAAATTTTAACTGATTGATTTTCCGTTGGGGTGTACTTATTACTTCTATTTTTTCATTTGCTTTCCTTGTATATGAGTACTTATAAGAACTGACATATTTAAAGTTTAGATTATTCGAACTGCTTGTTATGAAAACTGATGTTTTTGGAACGATAAATTGAAAAAAAATCATTATAAAACACGAATTTTGCTATCAAGCACCTACCTTCAAGAACATTGCTTTTTCCTCCTTGTTGAAATCCCTTTCCAAAATATCCCACAACCACCCTATAACTTTATGCGAATCATGAAATCCACCATAGTACTGGCAATTTTTTCGCAAATCTTTCAAGTCCAACGGCACGTTATCTCCAGATATCAAGCGTTGCAACTGAGAAAACATAAATAATCACCTGCATGCCAGCACTTACATTCAAGAAAAAAATAACAGAAAAACAATTACCTCTGGCGTTGAAAAAAGTGTCAACCATTCTGGATTGATTATAGATCTGAACCCGCGTATAAAAGCGGCCGTTTGCTCTTTGATTTGGACGTGCATCCGGAAATGAGCCATCAAATGGATATAGTTTATCCTGCAAATAAACATAATTATTTTTGGCGCCCAACGTGGGACCACATACTAACTTATTTTCATTCGTAACTTGCACAGCTCTACCACCAGGAACCAGCTCGTGGGTCACTATTTTCCCCATAGTGTCATCATCCACGCTGAAAGTTAAATCTAGATCCGATACATCTCCTTCGTAGTGTTTAACGTAGCTCAGACTTCGATACAGTGCGGGATCCAGAGACGGCAACTCGTCCACGCAACTGTACAGAACTTGAGTCGTCTGACCTGAGACCTGGCTGAGAAAAAATGACGCGAAAGGCACATCTACCACGATGCCCTCATACACAGCTTTACCTGAAAAAAAAAAGATAGCCAATATCCCGAGAGAGATGTGGTTTGTTCCACATACCCAGCATCCTTCCTACGAATTCGAATAGCTGCAGGTGGTTGTCCTGGACAGAAGATGTAGGCGAAGGATACAGCCGTTCCTCACTGGTAGCTTTGAAGAGATTCAAAGAAGGGTCGAACACTCTTTTGATGCTCTCTTCGAGGAATTCTTTGAAAACTCCGTCCTGATCTATGCCAGCCTCATCGAGACCTTGCTCATTGATAAACCTCACCCTGATCACTCCCTTTAGGGATTGAGAGGGCAAGAGAGCTAATTGTCGATAGCCATCTTCGACAATTCTGTTCCTGAAGAACAAGAAGCGAAATGTAATGTAAATGTAACAATAAAATGTACTTTCATAATGTATTCTATTGTCTTATAAATCACTAAGAGGGGGATTCATAGTGTCAATGTATGCGATCTAGGTTTGATGGGATATTCTGTTTTTGCTGTAAGTAAATTCAACTTTGATGCATTTTCAACAGCTGAAACATCGTAACAACTTTTGTCACCATCCGTTGATTGTGAACAAGTTTTTGTTTTCACACATACATTTCTCTTTCTCTACTTACCTATGCACCGTGATCAAAGTAGACTGCGGAGAAGCACAGGCAGACTCCGTTAGCCCCAGCACAGTCTTCTCATTGTTGATGTGTTTCCTGAAGAGTCTGACTCTATCCTCGTGAGGTAAGACATGCGGCATGGTCTGCAGAAGTAGTTGCGGTCCCCGACGTCCCTTTTCCAAATCTGCTATGAAACCAGAAACTTTAATATCCTTTATCAGCCAGTGACCTTCAGGAGTGTAGTTGCGTCTGCAATCTCTTCGATACAACAGCATGAGGATCGTGTGGAGAGAGTTGAAGAGAGAATTGGTTTGGATTGTTTTGAAATCTGCAAGAAAGATGACATTTGGATTGGTCACAAATGAATATTTAACCTCCACACATATCTGTTTGTATACGAAAATGAAATGTCAAGACTTTTTCCACAGGGGTATTTTCTTTCACTGATTGGTATGTGTGGACTGTATTTTTTCAAACGGCAAGTTATGAAAAACAATGATTGATATAAGGAACTAGTTTCCTTGAATGTATAATGAACAATTGAAACACTGATAATCTATTAAAACTTAAGGATAAATCTAAGCTCTTAGCACACGTCAAAGCTGTTTCTCAAATACATTCATATAACCTCAGGTATCCGAGAGTTCACGATGTTAAACTACAATGCAGAAAACTTACGTCAGTTAAAGAAATGAACATAATAATAGGGGAGCCCAAGAGGAGATTTCGGAATTTACTACAGCGCGGCAGATTAATATACAGGGGTAATATACCCGGTTAAGTACCTCCACCAAATATGAGTTATAAGGCCGCCTGTGAGGGATGAAGGATCAGATTAGTAAAAAAAAATTGATCATCAGATATTCTCGAGCGCGTCAGATTAAGGTAGGGTGAGTTAATTACCTACTAAAAAGTGTATATTCCAGTAATCTGACAATTTGAGAGTGACGTAAAGAAAGAGAAGGGCAGCAAAGTTGTAAAAAAATAACGTCATTTCGACATTCTCGAGCGTAGCTAATTTTTGTTTTATTTTGAAGGAAATGAATCAAGGATAACGAAAAATATATGATCTGACGATTTCCGCAAGCCGAAATAACAAAAATTCGTCGATAAAGTTTAATGCGTGCAGATGTGTGATACCTAATTTCCCTCTCCGAGTTTCTATTCCTCTATTCTCTATTCACTTTTTCTCTATCTATAACTCTCTCACTCCGTCCCCACTCTGAATTCTGTTGTCATGACGCCATCACAGCTGATCACAGAGACTCGTTCGTGATAATAATAATAATAATAATAATGTTTATTCAAATCAATCAAAATAGAAATACACAGAAATACATATGTGGTGTTTACATCGTAATAAACTTATGAATAAACAGACAAGATGGCCCATTAAGACCGCGAGGTTGAGCATGGGCACGATTTTCGTCTAGTTGTTTTACAAGTCACATACGACTCATTAATCATCATTAATCGAAATCGATGAAAAACAGTAGAAATCGGTGAAAAAAAAGGGGGGGAGAAATATAATATATTTAAAGTTTCTGTATTTAAAGTTTACATTTATCAATTCATTTCAATTGACAAGGGACTCCTTGGCTTATCCTCAATTCGATAAGGAATAAATGGTTGGTGTATCTTTTAACTAGAAGTTGTCTCAAAAATGCTATGAACAATGTTCCTATCAAGTTGTTTAATGTATTTCTTAAAGATATTTTTGATCATCCGAAGTGAGTTTATTGTTTTCATGTATACCTTATATATCTCAGGTAACATGTTGAAACATTTCCCGGCCAGATATGTGTAACTAAGTTGACCGGCTGTTTGTTTAGCAATTTGGACACGCATCATATTATTTGTTTTATTTCTTGTTTCATAACTATGCTCTGGAACATCCAAAAATGTTTTGTTCCTGTAAATATAGGTCAGTATACTATGCATGAAAAGTCGCCTTACATCCATAACATTTGACTCTCTAAAAATAAGATCCAAAGAATAGCTAGATTTTTTGTCATATATAATTTTGAGGATTTTTTTCTGCAATATATCTACCTTTTTTGCACACTATAATAATGGCCGCGAGTTTGCGTCAGATCGAAATCGTCAGATTATTGAATGAGAGCTTTTTTTTGTTGCACTTAACCCCCCCTTAGAAAATCTGACGCGCTCGATTAAATTTTTTTTTCTTTTCACTTTTAACCCTTACATACAACCACCCACATCATTCAAACGATCAGATTAACATACCAACATTATTAAAAACACGTAGGACATTGATGCTATCAATATCTGACGCGCTCGAGTATGTATGTATGACAGTATTTTTTTACATATTTAAAAATTTATAGCCGCTTCCCCCACCGATGAAAAGGTATATATTATATAACATTTTTTTTCTTCTTATCATCTAAGCTTTGCAACCTAATATGTCTCAATGACGTTCGAGTAAATCCCCATTTTGCATCGTGGACTCCTCTGCTATAAGCTTTCTATGTACATATTTTGGGACTGGCCCAAATTGAGTTATGGAAATTTCCTTATTATAAGCTACTAGAACGAATATATTAATTATTACATTGAGAAAATCAACTGCAAATATAGTGGAGAAGAGGAGCAGCAGTTCCTAGAAGTGGTTTTCTTACCAAAAAGATTGCCCAGCACAGCCTTGTACAGAAAAATGTTGAAAAAGTTTGACATAGCGACAAAGTCAGTCAGTTTGAATGGATTCTGTTGCTCGTACATTTCCATATCATCCAATATCCTGAAAAAAATTAGAAAATGCAAACTTTAAGGACAAAAATAACTAGATGGATCAATTCAAGAAATTACATTTATTATTTTCCAGCGAAATATTGGACTTTTTCATACGTACGTAACATAATGTGACATGCAGTCCGCAAACAACTGCAGCATCTGAAACTCCGGAGCTGAGCACTTGGTATTGAATGCTAGGTGATCGAGAAAGGGTTTTATGCCACAATTGGGGCCCAACGAACACAGAAATAACCACAAATCATACAGTATAGAGTTCTGATAACACAGACCTACAAAAAAGTAACATTGAACCAAAAAAACTTTCAACAAAATGATTTATATTTCCACCTGTTAATATATCCAGTTGCAACTGTGTCAAAGTGTTCAAAGCCGTATGATACAAGGAACAGATCAGGACTATCCGATGAACTTCGGGACTGCCAAGAGCCCTGTAGGATTTCTGAGTAGTCATTCGATTTCCTCTGCTTTCCAAGACTTTTTTGAAAAAATTAGATCCGCTGAAAGTGGTTAAGGTTGGGCTTAGGCTCTGTCCAGGAGGTTCTGAGCCAGAAACTAACTCTGCTAATGAATTGCCTAGAAGTTTACAATACGATACCCAAGAAATTATTGATCTGATTTAGGAATTAACTGTATCAGTTTTGAGAGAAATAATATGTTCACGAATGAGATATTACAGTTTGAAGTGGACTCACAAAAACAAACAGAACTTTCGAAGGAACTGAATAATAAAGTCACTGGTACAATTTATTATATGTATTTTACATCAAGTTGATGAAACGCAACATTATTACAACTGAACTTTGTGATAAAAAAAGTTTCAAATAATTTATATAAATGATAATTAGAACTAGCTCAAGAATGGATCCTTAGGGTGGCCAATTTATACTTAGCTGTTTTATTTGTTATTACCCAAATATAATTGCCCTACTACTAAAGAAATGAACATTCAAGCCAGACTCGAATATTCCACAGTAGGTTGAATGGACTGACGCCTATCAGAAAACAACTACTCCCCTGGATAATACCACCAAGGGCGTTGAATTATATTGGTTGGTTAGTCATTTATTACTATGGAACTTTGGTACTTACCTAGAAGAATCTGTACGATTTCAACATTCCACAAGAGATGGAGCTGAACCTTGATGTGATCCATTGCAGCATGAAGGGAAGGATCCATGGGTTGAGCAAACCAACCAAGAACCGGGTGCCAGTGGGTGAGAGTCGACTGTTTACTAACTACATAGTTCTGGCAGCTTTCCAATAAACCAGTAACTACGACCTACCAAATTTAATATAATGTTTAGAATCGTGTTGAAAATATAAATTATTCTAGGGTTTAGATGTAAACAATTAGACACGTATACGTGTCTAATGCAAAAGGGATCAAAAATATTCGTAGATAAACAATTTAGTTTTATGCCAACGTTTCGGACTTTATTAAATCCATCATCAGGGCTCTACAATAAAATAATTTAATAAGTGAACAGTATATGCCAATTAGATAAACAATTTAGTTTTATGCCAACGTTTCGGGTTCTACAATAAAATAATTTAATAAGTGAACAGTATATGCCAATACATATTGCAAAATTTATAAGGTTTATACAATAAATAAAATAATTTAATAAGTGAACAGTATATGCCAATACATATTGCAAAATTTATAAAGTTTATACAATCTCATATTACGTAAAAGAGAAACAAACAGGTACACTTACCAAACATTAGTTATCCATGTCAAAAAAACGTTTAAAATATAAGTGTCAGACAACATAGGTACAAATGAAAATGAGGATTGACCAAATGAAAACACATACACCACAGACACGTTTTCATTGGATTTTGTGCACCAAACCTATCTTCCTCTATATAAATAAATAACAAAACAACTGTTGTTTATGTAGCTTGTGAACTATAATTTATATTTTGCCCTAATTGTTGATTTATAAAGATAATTTTCCTTTTTTAAAGTTGAATATCTAGGTAACCTGAACTCCGATGTAGCATTCTAGGCGCTGTTGCCAATATGTGAATTAGAAACAAATCCCTTTAAAAATTAAAACCCAACATTTGAAACATCAATTTGAATACTTTTCGAAGTGAATTTGAAAAACTCATGATTTAAACTCAACTTTATTTTGTTCAAAATTGCAGTTGCTGTAGTAACACAAATTGAGGAACATTCCCCATTTTCTGTGTCTTATACCTGTTTAGTTTGAGATATTTTGAAGTAAACCAAGTTTCAGCATCATTATCTGTTCTGGAACATAGGTCAATTAAGTCGTTAACATTTGAGTCTGTGTCTACCATTGATACATCATCTGCATAGCAAGAAAATAAGCTTGGGAGTGAGAAATTAAAAATATCATCAATAGGTATATACCACAAAATGAGTTGGTCCCAGTATGGACCCTTGTGGTACACCGTGCTACATGTGCTAGAATTTTCAGATGTATAAACGACGTTTTCTCACACACAAGTAGGTTTTCATTAGCTCTAAAGCTCTGCCATGTATCCCATAATATTACCTAGTAGGAACTCATGATTTACACTGTCGAAAGCCTTACTTAAATAAACTCTCTGGCTTTTTGAGAATTCTAAAATAATTATTTATGTAGCTAGAACAAGTTTAAAAAACACGAGTTTGCTCAACAACTTTTTCGCTAATCAACAATACTTAATGGGTCTATTACCAATTACCGTGAATGTAGGAAAACATATTTCCCTAAGGGTGGTGTGTCTCTCGATATATGCCAATTGTATCAAATTTGCAAGCAGGCACAATGCATAACTTCCTTCTAAGGTATTGAAGACGATTCTCATTGACTGTTGACTAGAAAGTAATTCCAAACTTCTGGAAAATAACTTGTGGTTGTTGATTGTAACAATGGACTGTGAAAAAAACCAGTATTTTAATGATGAATATGAAAGCTGCAGTAATATAAGTTTTCATTTCATGTACTCCAAAACATCATCATTCACGAATAAATTTGTGTGTATAAACAACTTTACCTCTGCTGAAATAGTCTGCAAGTGTTGGACAAGCCCTGGAACTGACAAAATATTGATTAAAAATATTGTCATAAGTTTATCCGAGTAGTTTGCTGCAACCAAAGGCCTGAGTGAGAGAGTTAAAATAGCTGAAAGAGACACATTTTTGAATGCGATTTTTGTCCGTCCCAGCCCTTTCAAGAGCAAATTCTGAAAAAAGGAAAAAGTTTGTTCAGTACAAATCTAAATTACTCTACTTCATTCAACTCACCTTCAATACTAAATAAAATCCCTTGTGAAACAGTTGCCCCATCAGATTGGAGCACAGTTGGTTCATACCGGACCTCAGTACCTCCATATTCTTGTTCTTCAACACTGTCCAAGTACTTGTACTTGTAAACGCGACCAGCACGTGCAAATACAATACGATACTTTTCATGTCGCTTGCAAACTCAGGCTTGAGATCATTTAAATATTCACAGCAGTTCCACAATAAATCGTTCATATGTGAGATCCAACGTATGACGTGGTCTTTGTTTAGAGCCACACCTACGAAGCTGAATTTGGGAGAGTCACTGTCAAGAGTGGCTACTAGATATCGACAAAGTCTGGCGAATCTTTCTTTGTCTCTTTCTTTTCTCCAAACCAGAAGCAATTTTCGTGACTGGTGGTAGATTTCTATAGCTGGTTTAAACTTTCCTTTGGAGGAGTCTTCAGGAACATCGGGAATAATTCTATCAAATTGGATTCTGGAAGAAAATGTGGTACGAAGTTAAAAAATTTCGAAAGGGTAGGAAAACTCTTACAGAATATTTTGTGCAAATTTCAGACGACACAACCATCCTCTGACATTAGCTTGGATAAGTGTAGCAGCTGATTCTTTTCGTTTTTCAAGGGCCCTCTCTTCCCTGGCTGCTTTGGTTTGCTCCAAAAAGTTCCCTTTGGAGTTTTCAGTTTTGTGAAACATTTTGGAAATGTCACTAGTTATTTTTACTCTGGTCTTTATAGAAAATTGACGTCAAGTCATTTTGAAACTTCGAAGATTCCTACTTATTTATTCCATTATAACAAATTCTCATATAAATAAACAATAACTCACATGACATGTGACACTCTGACATATGACTTCAATGACTAGCACATGCTGACAGACTGGCTACGTCAAGGACAAATTAGCAGAAAAGCTGCGCAGAATGCAGGGTTAAAGCGTTTCTTCAATCAATTAGATATACAATTCAATTCAATACATCCTTTCCTAACAACATTTCAGTGTCCAAATTTTATCGCAAAATTAGAACTGTCAACTGTCTGATTGTACATATATATATTGTGAAGAAACTGACTGAAGATGAAAAACATAAATTCAGTATCAGTTGGAGGATTAATATGTATTTTGAATGAAAGTTCTGAATCGTTCACTCTGATGAAGCGCTATTTTTCGCAATTTATAAAATATTTGTTCACATCACCGACGGTGAATATGGAACTGATTTGAGAAAAAATGAACATATTACATCTGAAATCGAAAATGAATTTCAATTAAAGTTGCATTCATTTGGTAAATAACCTTTTTTGACTCTAGGATTATACACATCGAAAGGATGGTTCATTGAATATACATTTTTGTATCCATATTTATTATCATTGATATTTTCATGTTAATTGCTATTAAACATCTTGATTTTATTGGCAAATGATGTAATTTCTGATACCAATACGAAAAAGTTAATTTGGAATATGCTGAATTGTTTTTTTATTACCTTTTCAATATAATTGTACATTCATTGACCATATTACAGTTTACTTATATTGGAATGGAAATATATCTATCACGGAAATGAATATTCGTTTCTATATGCTAATAGAGACATGAGCATGTAATAACAAGTTTCGTGTAGATAGTGTTGATTTAAAAGTATTGAGTTTTCTATAGGAAATTTCTGGGGCAAGTCCAGGAATATAATAATTATATTTGATCTGTCAAGTCGAACTTTGTTGCATCCTTGAAAGCGTTTCTATTAAACTGTAGTTTTGATGGCTGAAGGTTGGTAGACGCATCATTACTTGAATGTCATCTCTCAAAGCACAGAATATCGATCTCGTTACCAACTGGCCGGATAGCCTTAGTTGCTGAGGCCATTACATCGAAAAAAGAAGACTGTTTTCAATTCTTTGTAAATAACGTCACTAATTTCAAACTAACTGTGTTTATGGAATTAATTAATAAAATGGAAAATTTGGCATCTGAATCCGTTTTGACTGAATCTATGTCGACAATGTCTTTACCGCAGAAAAGGTTTTACAGACAAAGAGCTCACTCCAACCCTATAGCAGATCACTGTTTCGATTAGTAAGTAAATGTATGGAGTTGAAAGTGAATTGCTGCTTTCTAACAGACATTTTCAGCCCTCAGACTCCAGAGCTCATGGACTGGAGTAAGTATTACCCTGAAAAGTTCAGTCAGAATCCGGCAAGTCCTCCACAGGTTGAATTTGCCGATATTGGATGTGGTTATGGGGGACTGCTCATTACATTATCCCCGATGTTTCCAGAAACTCTCATGTTGGGGATTGAGATCAGGGTAAAAGTTTCAGATTACGTAATGGACAGAATCGCGGCTTTACGATCTCAAAATCCCAGGCAGTATCAGAATATCGCTTGTTTGAGGTCAAACGCCATGAAATATTTGCCAAATTATTTCAGAAAGGGACAGGTCAGTTTTATGGTGGATTAACTTATCTCAATATCAAGAAGTTCAATGTTTGAGTTGCTCGTCTTCAAATTTCACCTAATTCCAACTTTCATAAGATGCTTAAGCAGTTTGGAACTGCAGATGATTACTTATGTTCAGCAAGAATTTTCAAGTCATTCTTGCAAATCAACAAATGAATATCTTTTCCAAAATTTGTGAACTGAGACAAAATGATAGTATGCTTATATCTTCCCAACTTATGTCAAGAAATCCAAAGCAAGCATGAAAATAAAGTAAACTTCATCTCCTGATGACGCCAATTTGGTTGGTAAAGCGTGGTGCATGGAGAAGAGTATTATGTTTCTAGGTGAAAGTGCTTGCTTTGAATTTATTCTATGACAGTTTCACCTTTTATTTACATTTTAATTTCACCAGCTTATACTGTTCATGATCCAAAGTTGAAACTGTTATAAATTCGACTTTTTTATGAAGTCACTTTTGGTAATGAAACTCCTAAAATAATACTTTGTTTCCATGATTGACTGCTGCAGAACTTTACAGAATGAAATACTCCTATTTCTTCAATAAACCTTATTTTTGAAATCGTATTGGCTATATCAGGAATAGTCAAAGTCAAGAAATGAAATTTTGTTGCCAATTTTTGAGAATTTTAGTTTCTTATTCACTAAATATGTAAATGGAACATCATCTTTAAATCAGCTTTTTTTTTAATGAGACACTACAAAAACTAAAAAAATGAATCAATTATTGAATGTTGAAGGCACATTGTAAGTTACAAAAATAACATGGGAATCCTTATCATTTTAATAGCCACATAAACCACTTGAAACGTGAAAGAGAATACAGAACTGCACTTATTATGAATAGCACTATTACGATTTCAAAAATGATGATTATTTTAGCATAAATAATTTAACGGCTAGTGTTGATTGTAATGTCGTTTTGGAAAATACTTCAATACAGACGAAACTGTTCAAAATCTATATAAAGTGATTTCAACTGCTATTGACTTATATGTACCAGTTGAAACTTCTGAAACTTCTATTTTTCCCATGTGGTACAGTTTTAACCTGAGGAAACCTGATTCATTTTTTAATACTACCAACAAAATCATTAAAAAGGTTTCCGGTAAAGCCGTCTCTTGGTTTCATGAACAATTGTATTTGTTGGAAAACATACAATTTTGAGAAATTTTAATGTTTTGAAAAAAAGAGGAAATTAGCAAGTCAAAGTTTTCAAAATAAAATCATGATATGAATGTGACCTTTTACAAGCTTTCATTACTGGAAGTGGGTTCCTGAAATAGTTGTTTTATTGACTTCAGCTGACAAAATTTCCTAGGTGTAATTAAAGCTTTTACAAAAACATATCCTCCAAACCTACTATTCAATTTTTTCTAGTTGAAAAAGATTTTCTTTCTATATCCAGACCCCCATTTCAAGAAGGCAAAGCATAAGTGGAGAATAGTCAGTCAGAATTTACTGGCTGAGTATGCATACGTTCTAGACGAAGGGGGTGTTGTTTACACAGTAACAGATGTAAAAGATTTGCATGAGTGGATGGTGAAGCATTTCGAAAAACACCCACTGTTCGTCAGAATTTCCGATGAAGAACTGGTAAGTTATTCCGTACCATAGACTTTATAACTGGTGGACTGGTTCTACAATCACGGTTTCTGGAAAAAACGAGAATGAATTATCAATGAAAATTTATTTAGTTATTGTCGAATTCAGTAGTTGGTGTCAACGTAACAAACTGATTTTAAATAAATCTAAGTCAGTGCTGATGAAAACATTTGTTAGGAGGGATTTCTGTTGTAATTTAGTCACTTTAAATGACAAAAATATCAAAAGAAGTTAATTTTCTTGGAACTACTTTAGATAAGAATCTCACCTGGAGAAGTCACATACAAAAAGTGTGCAGTGAACTCGATCGAGCAGTTAAAACATTGTTTAGATAGGTTTGGTTTACTAAATCTTTACTTTGTGAATGCATACTCCCACATCAGTTTCAACATAATGGCTTGGGGATGTGCAATGGAATTTTCTAGAGTTTTCATCTCTCAGCCTGGGGTACCAAGAAAGTTGTAAACCCGTTTTCAAAAGAGAACTTCTGTTGACTGCACCCTCAATATATATAATGAAATGTCTCATTTTTGTGCACAGGAACCTTGACTTGTACATAAGGAATTTGAGCATTCACAGTCATGATACTCGCCTTGCTACTACTCTGAGGGTCCCTTTCCATAAGAGTGGTCTTTTCAAAAAATCTCCATTATATAATGCCATACATTTTCATAACAGACCTCAACTTTCTATAAAGAGGTTGAATTCTGCAAATTTGTTCATTATGGAAGTTAAAAATTTATTACTGGGCAAATGTTACTACAGTCATAAGGAATATTTAGAGGATTCTTTCATAGAAGAATAATAGACAAAGACAAGACAATTTATTTTCCACTGAATGTTACAATACAAGTACCATACATTATGGGAATCGTCACTAATAAGTAGGTTATAATAATATTACAATTTCACTTTTTGGTCATAAAATAAAATAAATTAATATAAATAAATAGGTACATGTACACACTTTAAAAATTAATAAATGAAATATAAGTTTATCAATACTAATTAGAATTATTTATTAAAAATTTGAATCAAAAGACTACTGTTTCATGTGGTCCGAGTCAAAATTTTCATTCAAAAACTCCTGAACTGAATAATAGCATTTCTGTACTAAAAACTTTTTTAGATAATTTTTAAATAAACTTGTGCTGAGTTCTCTTAATTTCTTAATTTCACATATTTTATTGTAGCATTTGATTCCTATATAATTGGGATTCTCCTGCCTGATTGATAATCTAGAGAAACATAAATTGATGGTGTCCTTCTGCCGCGTATTATGATTGTGAACATCCTTTCTTGTTTTGAGAGAGTTATGTTTATTTATGATGTGAACAATTATTGAGTAAATGTACAAGCTTGGTAATGACATAATACCCAGCTCAACAAAGTGGTTTTTACAAGATGTTTTGCTAGATAAATTCAGCATGCACCTTATAATTTTTTTTTGAGTGATAAATAATTGACCACTATTATGGGCTTTTCCCCAGAAAATCAGACCATATGACAGGCATGACTGAATAAGGCCAAAATATAGTAGTTTCAGTACTTCCATTGACACTGTGTTACGCAAGTTTCTAATAATGAAGCAATATGAGCTCAGTTTTGAGGATATATGTTCAACATGATCGTTCCATGTGAGTTTTTGATCCAAGTGGTCCCCTAAAAATTTTGTACAGGTCAAGTTTTCTAATGATGTTTCTTCAGTTTTAAGTAGTATGCTCTGGTTCACAGTGGCATTTTTTGTATTAAAGTAAACAGCTATTGACTTGTCTATATTCAGAGATATGTTATTATTACCACACCATTGGGTTATGTTTTTGATAGATTCGTCAGCTTTGTCCTGTATTTCCCCCCTTGAGTGTCCAGTGATGATTAAATTAGTGTCATCTGCATAAATAATTGGAGGTTTTATTTACCTCCATGGGTAGATCAGTTATAAATATATTGAATAAGGTTGGTGACAAACATGATCCTTGAGGAGTGCCTATTCTAGTTTCAATCGGCTCGGATCGGACACCGTTGATTTCTACTTGTTGATTTCTATTTGACAGATATGAATGTATCCATTCCAAACACTGGCCTCTAACACCAATATGATACAGTTTAGCTTTCAACAAATTTTGATCAACGGTATCGAACACCCGGCTCATATCAAAGAACAGTCCCATTATGATATATTATATGATATAACCATTAAGATATATAATCGTTCTAATTTGTGTGTATATGTATGTAGGTATATATATGTACATTTATTTGACTTCGGCAAGCAAAATTGACACATTTTTTATTTATTTTTTCATTAGTATTTTATATGTCTACGTGTATCTATACCTTTGTATATGCAAATATTATTTTTATTCAAGCTTTGATTTCATTGTTTTATTCATAAGGGACTTACTGTTCTTTGTTTTACCTAATTAATCATTGACCTACCATATATACGCTATGTATCACAAATGGTGAATATATATTATTATTATTATTATTGGGGGCATAAGACCCACACACTTTGGACTCACCTACATGGAATTTGTAGATATGACTAAATAGTTTTCGTTTATTTTCATTATACTATTGAAGCCGACTACATTGTCAGCAAGGTATGAGGTGGAAGAGTGATGTTGATAACCGGTACATCAGTTATAAATTCTTTGTTCAGTATTCAAAGTTGAATGTTGATGTTCTACCTGTATTGATTTCATTTGCAGAAAGAGGATCCTATAGTTGAGAAACTGTACAGCAGTTCCGAGGAGGGCCAGAAAGTCACTAGAAATAATGGAAACAAATTTTTAGCTGTATTCAGGAGAATAAAGGATCCTTTTTACGACAAATAATAAATTTGTCATTATTTTATATTTTCCAAGACCATTTGGAATACGAATGATTGTTATTTATATTTTTAATGTTAATAAACATAACATGACCAACGGCCTCATTTATTTTGAATTTTACAAGCACAATCATCACACACTGGTAGCAAAAGTTCTACTTCTTTTTCCACCTTTTTCTCATCGTACTCTTCTGGATAGGTCACTCCAAGTTGGAATACTTCTTGAATGCCATCTAATATAAGCTCTTTTAGCGCTCCGGAAAGCACAGGTAACTTTGGTCTGGAGAAGAACTTTTTTATTTCATCCTCCCTGATTTTCTTGATGGCTTCCTTACTCAAAGGCTCCGCGACTCTACTCTGGCTGATTTCTGCATCTAACGTAACTTGATCATAGTACACTGGAGATTGGTTGGTAGATGTTTCTAGCAGCTTTTGGAAAGTATTGCCGAAAACAACCTCCCTGAAAGCGAAACACTTGATTCTGATTTGAAGCTTGTTGAAACAAGTCTTACGATATCAATTGTCTCATAACTGTCCTGACACTTTCGGAATTCTCAGCACTAAGAGCGGAGTCTGGGTCGTTCTGATTATTGGAATCCGAATATCTTTCAACTATTTTATTTACGTCTACATCCAAGTCCGCTTGTGGGGAACATGTGAAGAGGTTATTCGAACATTTCAAAATATCTAAATCCATGGCATGTATTATGTTGATATCAATATTTATTGATAGTGTCCAAGGTTGTGGTTCTTCTTGTAAAATCACATTGTTATGCTGCAAGGAAAGAATTGAAATAATTTGATAGAACATGTAATTTAAATGTATTGGGCTGAAGTTTATTACTAGAAGTTTTCTACTGAGAAAAAATAATCTTAGTCTATTGGTCGAAAGAGGGCAGCACCATTTCCATTACCAACTAATTTTATACGGAAAGATCACAACTTCAGAGGCATTTTTTCGATTAACTTTGAATATCTTATTGAAGGTGACATGAAAATCAATGACAATTGTTCTAGGTGGAAGAAAAAACTCGGCACAAAGAAACTACCCAAGATGCATCGAAACTGGTGTTTTCCGATTCGCTTTTCTTTAGTCAATAACTCTCGACTCGACAAATGAGATTGATCCAACTTTGAATAAATGTCAATAGATGGTGCAAGAATCGAAATCTGTCACGTGTATTTTGTCATACGTTTATAATACAAAATAACGAAAAATAGTTAATAGAAACATTAGCGTTTACCATCTCTTCAGTTCCTGTTTCATTGATAATAAACTGCCCCTCCATTTCTTTAGCACTCTGTTGATGAAGTTCCATTGATTTCTTGTGGACGTACATCCCAGACAGATCATCTACCGTACAAGATAGCGAAATGTCTGTGATACAAGCTTCGTTGAAGGAAAATATTTTGAGCACAATGGAATGTGATTCTTTGGGCTTCAGAGTACCATATTTGTTGACCACAGTTATTTTCACTACATTACGAATTCCTGCTCTGAAATTAACAATTTTAGCCTTCAAAAACTGTGCCTTCCACAACGAAACATTTTGAAATGATTCAAATCCTTTCCAAAATATTATGAAAGAACTGAAAATTCACAGAACTGATGGAAATTTATGACAATTTTAGTTGAGTTTTTAAAAAAAACTGAAAGTAACTTCTTGATTACTTGGTATAATTTAAATGTCAAACTCACTCTCCCCAGTGATATTGTAAAATCCTATCTTTGGTGATATTCTTGATGAAAATAATCCGCTCGGTGGAATTCCACACAAGTAATGGGTCAACAGTTAAGTAATCCGTGGATAAAGTCGCTGGTACTTTGTAAGTTGCTGTGCAACTTCTTGTCACTTTATCCAAAAGAAACTCGCTAGCTTTTTTAGCGTGCCTTCCACTCCCCCGGATATTCAACTCCTCCTTGATGGCGTCAAAGTAAATAGGAACAGAAACCTGAAATGCCCAGGAACTGAAAATGTTATTGGTACTCATTGGTTTACCAATCAAAACTAGAGAATATGTGCCGGAGAGCGCACATCAAAAAGTATGATCCGCTGGTTAATGGAAAAACAAAAGAACAGAACTTACATTATAAAAATAATTCAGTCTAATTGTATTATTTTTCGTAGTTAATATTTTTTCGGAAACACTATAATTATATATAGAGAGTGTGTACAGATATATTATCATCTATATCCTATTGAAGGGAACTTTTTCTGAATTGGTGATAAATATAGCTAATGATAAATTTCATTTAATTTTTCTACATTGGTGATTATCAGGAAATTGTTCTTTTGTAAAATATTGTAAATTATCCTCTGAAACAAAAAACGCCGGCCGCCGCTGTTCTTCGTCAATCGACTGTGCCTTGGCCAAAGTCGCACTCAACTTGCGGATCGTTCTAGATGTCGCGTCACTTCGGGAGACTTTCTTATCGGCTTCTAGAGACTTCCATTACGATATATAAACACTACCAACAGGCAGATGGGCCAACTCTAGTTGAAAGTACGGTACAAAGTGCTCCAATGAGGTAATACACATTTGAGTACTGATCTGATGTTTCAGTGAAAGTGTTTGTGTTGTTTCGTCAGTGTAGCAGTGAAATAAAGTTGAATTCAATTGTACAGTATAGTCAATTATTGTCAAACCCACGAGGAAAACGTAACAATATTGAGCTGCCTTGTTTGATAAACATGTACTTTTTTATGTTCTATAGTACATTTCATAGTAGAATGTGTTTTGTTTATTCAATCCTCGAATATATATATTTTTTGAGGTACATCCCAGCAAACATGGTGACGTCATTTTCACGTACATTTTTAGTCGTAATTGGTCGTCTACAAAATGTGACTAATAATACACTTTGAACTGACGTAAATTCATCGATAACAATACGACGCTTCATTGGGAATGTGATAAATACGTGACAATTTGTGGTGTTAAAACGTAAGTGACCACTGTAACAATGAATTCTGCCAGCCGATTGCAGTTAAATCTGATTGGCCAGCGTAATGAGGTTTGTCTATTTTACCCAATAGATGCAAATCTGTGTGGTGATCATGCTTTGATCATGGATCCATCATTGTTTGAGTTGCTTTTTTGTTGGATGGATATAGTTTAGTTGCCTTCGCTATACTTTCAGTTTTGTTTTCTTAGGAATAAGAATACCTGTAATTAATTGAAAAACCCATAAGAGTAGCCTATTTCACACTTTTGGGATAGGTGATAAACGATTTTTTCCAAAATATTATTGAAGATTCAAATTCTATTCCATCAAATTCAATTTGTAAGCTATTGTTGAGGTTGAGGACATCTTTATGACGTCACAACTGAGACGTCTTTGGTCTGCGGCTTAGGATCGTCATGTTGACTAAAATATTATGTCAAAAATAATGATATCATATTTACTGGGACAACACATTTTACGATTTTAAGTACAAAATTTGGACTTACTTGATATTCCTTAATTTCAATCGGATGAAATTTGATCATAAGGGGCCATGCAGTATACGGTTCGATTTCTCCGGACGGGTTCACAATTTGGAAAATAACGAACCCCTCATATCGACACAGTTCCTGAACGTTTTCGGTATCAATTTCATATCTCGCCGACCTTTTGGTATTGTTGTATAACCAGTACGTTTGAATGGGCGCTTTTTTCCTGCTCATCGCGACGTTAGTTAGGTTCGGTGAAAAGTAGTCTGTGTAGCAGGAGATTTTACCAGCATTTTCCGGAATAGCGTAGATGAGGAATATCAGCTCGATAATCCTGCCGTCGCCGAGGTCTAGGCTGTACCCCATTTTCGTCCTTCCCGGTATGCTGTACTTCACAGTGATGGTCAGCAGTCTGGAGGATTGTTTCTGTAATGCAATATTCGACCCAGTATCAGCTAGGAATATATTTTTGGCTACACTTGACGCTTGGAGAAGCAGAACAACTAATAGTGAAGGAATGTTTTGAATGAATCATTTTAACTTAAAAAATATTCAGTGAGTAGTATTTCTTACGAAAAATATATTGTCCGACAATTCTAGGGAAAGCGTTTCTCTATGAGGGCAGTTGTAAACTTGTTTGGTTGTGTTGAACGTGTTTTTGGCCTCTTGCAAGTGACAGTCGCACATTTTCTTCCTTTTCAATTCAATTTTCGTCTCGAAATTGGTGGTATTTTCTATGAGAACTGTGACATAACGTAATTCTGGTCCGACTTCGAAATCTGGCAAAGCCATGTGGATTGTTTCAGTGTCTTCTTCTGATATTTGTCCCAGCGCGTCGTTCAACCTGAAATAAACTGTTTGCAATCAGTGTTCTATGCAGAAAGTGATGATTTTTTGGTACTGATTCGTTTGGTAATCGAATTTGGAACACTAGCCGCTTTTACCTGTCGAGGTTGAGGAATTCCCACATGTGTTTCTTATTGAAAAGGGGCCCAAAATCATGTTCAACCACGTCTTCTAACTGAAAGGGATGCGTTATTTCAAACATAAATGATATATAATAACGATTTTGTTTCATAATAAAAATTAGTTATGATTGGGTTTTGGGAAAAATGAAAATTAAAAATCATTATAGAAGATGTACGCTGTCTGTTGAGAAAATAAGGTGAATTTTCATTTTTCGTTTTGTATAATGTTTGAAGTTTCCTACATTTTTTTTGTATGAAGATGGAGAAGCGAGAGCCAAAAAACTCTTTTTTTTTTAATTCAAGCCGTGTGTTGAATCACCTGTAAACGAGGAAACTGACAATCATAAATAAACTTGTACAGTTCTATTGGTTCAGCGTGAAAGTCCACCGCCTCCGTATACTCTGATATCCTGTTCGAGTAAACTACGGTTATTTCGTTCGACCCCAAGGATTGGGCGCATCCCTCCACCAGAATCTCTAGTTTTTCACCCGGTTTCACCTCACCCGAGCTGGGGATGATTTGGAATTGATCCTGGTTGTGAGACCTGTTTATGCATCGCATCTTGAAGAACACTGCTATGTCTCCGAAATTGAACACGTGAAATTGTGACTGGATAACTTTTCCCCACTGGACGATGTCGAAGTTGTAAGAAGTTGGAGTTGCCTGAAAATTAGGAATATATTTGTCAATTTGTGAGAAAATTCGGTTTTGGGGTGGGTATTCCCGGGCTAAGTCTTGAAACCAATCAAGTACTTCGAGTATTTGATAATTTTTAAAAAGAACAACAGTTTATATGCCTCCAGTCGAGCGTAACACATCACACCACTCAATTGCCCCACCAATCAACCAAACGCTTTCCACCAAACATGCCACAACTATAGCCTAGGCCTAGAGCGAAGTGTAAATACATATTACTGGAGTTTTATCCCAACACCAAACCATTATTTTCAACACCTCAACACGACGATCAATCTTTTACGATAATAAAAATAATTTATTGAATAGTCTCTTCATCCAATGTAACTCCACCGCGAATTTCTCAAGTGAAATATTTAGTCATGAACTTTATTCACCAAACAAATATAGAAAAATAAACACACTTACACATAACTGTGCATATGTGAAGTCGGTGTAAACAGTGAATTCAGTTTCGTAAGTGAGGCCGACCAATTCCTGGAATTTTCGTAAGATCTGGAAATAGATCTTTCCACTTGTTTTCTTCTGGAAACATACACTTGCGGTATAGTTACATGTTAGAAGTATTTCGTCATATGGTTCAAGATCTGCCTCAGTAGGATCCAGTTGAACCAATTCACTGTCTCCGGTATCGATAACAAATCTGAAAGATATTGTTTTAAATTATTCTCCAATGTTCAAGCTCTTTGAAACTTTTGACATTAATAGCATCAACAGAACAATAATTTAACATAAGTATTAATGCTGGATCGCAAGGGAGTCAACGATCATGTGTAAACAGAGGTCCTTGTCTTTCCTTTTGCCGAATGAAAGAGAAATTTATTCGATGAAAACTTTCTTGAAATCCAGCTGAACCTGGGAGAGATGAGAGAACTGTCCGGGGGTTACTATCCTCTTTTTACTGTGGCCGATCTTATGTGGTTATGTTTCTAAAGATTCAAGAACTTGGAAAAGGTTAGTATCTTCTTTCACTAAAATACTAGCTTTCAATAAAAGGAGTAACTTCTCAAGAATAACAGCAGAAAAGTCCTCAAAATATATTCTTTCTAGAAAAACTATCTTCTTAGGAAAAACTACTGGAAGTTGCAAGGGGAATCTGATTAAAAACACAGGAGAAGTAAAAAGATATCTCATAACAAAATTTTATGTCTGTATTTCCACAAACTGAGGACTTGACATTATAAACCTTCTGAAAATGACGCACATCATCAGTGAAAAGCAATTAGCAGCTGAACGTAATAGATTTTATAACAATCCAAATTCTCTCCCAGAATAGTAGGGGCAAATTGATTATTCAATTTAGAATTCCACCACATGAAATTTGACTTCATCTTATATGGCATAAAAGCATTTCGAAAAACTATAACTGTTACTGTTACTATTGGTCAATATTTGAGAAGCATATTGGACTTATTCCAATGTGAAGCATAATCTTAATGGTAGAATTAAAGCTCATGATGCCAAGTTTTTTAAGTAGAAAGATCAAAAAAGGAGTGTATATAGTTCAAGGTCATACACAAAGACAGATTCGATCGCCATACGACGTGCTCATAGCCCAAGGTCATTTGGGGTCTTCAAGGTCATGTAAACTGCATATATCTCAAGGTCGACGCCATTCAAGGTCGAAGTTAAGTGGTGGGGGAAGTAAAGAACCGTCACTAGCACCCTACTGGTTGCTAGCGTTTGAAATCCAATTTTTTTCATATTCTTAGGTGGATTTTGATCAAAATTGACTATAATATTGAGTAACATCATGTCAGATATGGATTTATTAACATCAGAAATGTGTCATTTGAAGCAGTTGGAAGGGAAACCGCAATAAGAGAGGCTAATGAACAGAATATAAAAAAAATAATTTGACTGAGTGTGCATTGATCCAATTATTTATTGAATTAATGCAAAAAAATCCCTCTTTCAATTAAAATGTACTCGTGACAATTAATATGTACCTACTAATATTACTTCTAATATTAAAACCAACCTTAGATGGTGGCAGGAGGTGTTCCGCAAGGATACCGTCGCCATTCCATAAGTATAAGCTTGTATACGTTCTAAGACAACAACGTTATTATCTCCAATTTGAACTGAAGGTAGAGCGCAAACACCACTGAAACTTATAGGAATCTTCTTCTCTTCTCGACTGTTTAACTCCAAATACCAAGTCTCGAAAAATTGCCTCTGGCCAGCCTCGCAAGTTCTAAGCTGAGCCTGGATGATGACGTAATCCTCAATAATACCCGCTGTTGGTTTCATCGCCATGTTCCTAAAAATAACGATGAATAGAAATGAAAGCGTTTGTACGAAATGGAGTTCTAGTACGTGCTGTATGGAGGGACCAGTTTGTACATTACCGGAACGGGACCTACGTTTCGAATTTTGAAATTTTGGATCGTGACATCTTCAGGCAAACACACCGGAAACGTTATTTGTGGAGGACTTATTTCGACGTTGGTTATCACGAAGGCTTCCGAAGTGAAAGAATTACCTGCATGAGCAAAACAACGAGTTTGTTCAAACTGTTTCAGTAAGCCGGAGACGTGGAACTCACCTTGGAGGATAATGCTTGCCGTGAAGGGTACATTCCAAGTGCCGATTTTTTTCATTTCCGACACCCAGTAGACCTGGGCTGTTAATGATCTGCTGTAGATACAGTTGTTGTCAGGCGGTGTAAAATAGAACTCGAAAAAAAACGAATGATTTGGAGATATTTGGGCTCTTTTGGGATTGGCGCAAAAAATTTCATCATCTGCAAATATATTTGGCTGAAACTGGAGGTGATTTGCAAAGGATAGGTATGTTTTATTAAACAACATGAATAAGTACCTTGGCCTAATATTAGATGACAAGGTGACTTTTGGTTTTCAAAACTGTGAGAACCCAGATTAAATATTAGGAAGATTGTTTGCAAGCCTTTTGCTGAGTGTAGTGAATGGTGCTTATGAATCAATACTTTGCGAAATATGTCTTCTGGAAAAGATCTCTCCGAAAGCATTGAAAATTCAAAATGCCATGGGAAACTCGAAGTAAAGAAGACAAAAACCATTCGTGAGAGAAAATTCTTGACGATCGATTAGTGGCAATCAAACTACATGTTAAAAATTAAGTTGCTGGGATCTGGGACACGAGTTATAAAGAAAGACACACTTCTAAGAACTTATATCGACAATTGAAACGAACGAGAGAAGGCATGACAGGTCGAGCAGTGAAAGGTAACTTCATTCCTGAGCAACACTCGATAATTCAGAATCTATTAATTTAGGATTGGGAAAAGACACGAGTCCAGATTGTGACCTACGTGGATCAGAAGCTTCCCCATAGAACTGACCAACGACGTGGACATGAAGAAAATGGAAGGGTTATATTTTGCTAGATGTGAAAATCTGCCTGAACTACCTACCTCGTCCTGGATTAACAATAAACGCTCTTAATGAAGATTTAGAAGTACTGGACACATTTGAGGTCTAATGAGATTACAGATCGAAAAACGGTATTTTCCATACTTGTTACATACATTTTTTTATCTTATAAACCATGTAACAGTTTCATCTATGATATGTTAAGCTCCGCATTAGGGAAACTTATAAATGTCAAAGACGGATTGGCAATCGAAAAGAAAACAATGACTCCAACAACTAAAAAAAGATGAAGATATTCACGTCCTGGCATTTACGTCACTCATACAATTAACGTCAGTTACACGTGTGCATATTTCCATTGTAAAAATTTTGGGATTTGATTTGTCACATGGTGCCGTCACGAATTGTTCAAGGCTTTGTGATCCGCGGGTGGAATATTTGTAAAAGAGACGACGTCACAGCCAGTCCACATTACCATGTCTATGGTTGAAATTGGATACACGCTAACTGGCCTCATTGCGCGGGATATTTCAAAAAGAGCGGCTGGCAATATTAAAAATAGAGGTTTCATCTATTCAGTGAAGAAGTCTGAATTGTGTGTGTTTGTTCAAGTGTTAATTGAAATATATTCCACACAAGAAAACTAGTGGACTTCTTGGATCGTTATTGTAAATTCACCAGCAGACGTTTGAAGCTTCACAAATCACCTTCTACCCAAAAGACTTCGATGTCATGCTTCATATTATTTGTCACACTAATAGCTTGCCGTTTGTAAGCTGATCGCACTCCTCCATTCCACTGATTCGACTCCAAGTTGATAACTCTTCCAAAATCTATGAAATTCCTACTCAAAGAAATCGGAGGCAAAACAGACAGATCTATTTTCGAACACTCTGTATTCCCGAGGATGTCGTTGGTCGGCAGGGGATAAGGCTGGAATATTACATCTTTTGGCTCGATTTTTTCCTTTGTTAATATGCCGATGAGGTCCACAGAAAAGGGTTTCTGAAAATAAAATGGAATGTAATGCCAAATAGATAACTAGTAAAAACGCATATGAAGCAGCTAGTCGTTCCAACTAGAAACGTACTGTCAATAATATAACTAACTATGAAAATCACGAATTATTTTTGTATCGAAACCTGTAGAAACTAAGACACATCGAACTTACGTGTCCCCAAACGAAACATGTGAGTTGCTGGCTGAAAACTCCCCCCGATTTTGGCGCGAAAAACACCGCTATATACATGTGTTTTCGAATCACTCCTTTACGTGGTTCAACTTGGAACAGTTCTTGTTTCTCATCAAAATCGAACATGAATTCAGCGGGGACATCAGACGAATTTACTATTTCGAAAACTTTTTTGGTTCTCTTCTTAGGTGGATGAAGAAAGAAATGAATGACATTTGTAGATGTACTCAGTTGTGGACCTGGAAGGTAACTCATAAATAAAATGATGTAACGCTACCAAAAGTGTCACATTGATTTAACTTTTAAATATTCATTGATTTAATATTAGTACCCTAGTAATTGAAGGTTAGGTTAGGGGTAAGGTTAGGTTGGCTAATATTTTAATTGTGCTACAGTCTCAATAATATCATGATTTATTGCGCTTGTGCCGGGATCTAATCTAGGCAATACCCGATCATTTGAAGTACAAATACTAGCTGTGTTGTCCAGAGAAATTGAATTTTACCTTTAGTCTCTCCTTTAGCTACTATTTTGACGACATTGTAACCGTTATCCACAAATTCAAAGCAGCCTACATCTTTGTAAAAAGGAATCGTCGGCAAATAGTCAACTTTCAGTTTTATAAAGGCTGCATTTGCTTTCACGAATCCTTCCTTTCTATTGAAACTGAAAGCGGGATTGTAGAAACCCACTGACGCGTCTCTCTTTATTCTGTAGCTTGCAACATCCTTTGAAGGAAATTTATTCAGGAGAGTTTTTGAAGCTTTTCAATGTATCTCACCTCTTGGTTGAAGTTTCGTATGGAAACAGTTTTTGTGTATTTCCCAAAAACTGCCACTTTCCCAAAGTCGAGCACAATCTTCTCTATTACTTTAGATTCTTCGCTTACCTTTGAGAGTCCCTGAAAACAGGAAATATTCTGTGGATCGGAGAAATCGACGTGACATCGACATATTTCCTCCATTTTGTTACTGTGACAACTGCTAAAGTGTCAAATGCTGCCTTAAGATTCTTGATTTTTTTTAAACTGACCGTTACATGATGAAAATAAATCCTTGATAAACTTTTTTAACAATACTTCTTTAAGAGATTAGGTTGTTTCGAATGGTTTGTCCCTTTTCATGAATCTACTTCAACCCGTGAGTTGACCAATAATTGACTACACTGAATAATCAAACTTAACTTTATTTCACTTTAAATACAACAAATACTTCAACTAAAACCTCAACTATTATTTGAATGTCTATCGCCTTACTATATCACTTCGCGCACCGCACTGTAGCGTCCACTTGACTGTCCCGATATCCTCCTGGCTAGCCTTTAAATATCGTAATCGAATGTTGTAGAAATTTCGCCAAAGTTCTGTCGAAGTCGGTAGCATTATTCTCGCTGCTTCTCAAGTGGCGGGGAATCATCGTACTTTCGCGCGCTCTTAACTACGCCACGTTTGGTTTATGGTTACCAGTGGCGGCCGGCGTTTTTTTTTTCGGGCATGATTTACAACACTATCCCCTTACCTGAGGTTGTTCGCCTCAAACAACATTCCAAGAGGGGACTATGTGGACAACTTTAGGCTTGCTTCTGGGTCACAATCGGATTCTGTACACCAGATCGTTTATCTTTTTGGTCCCAAGTAAGGTCCATGCCATGTTTTCTGTATCTTGGGATGCAAACCTTTCCGATGTTGGGGTTGGTAGATCCATACTGCATCGCTCTCCTTGGAGCTCAGTGGCAGCGACTTTTTGTCAGATTTTATCTTTATCCTGTCGCTGGAAAGAAGTAGTTATTGATGGTGCGATTATGCATTTCGATCATTCCATCGGATTGTGGGTAAAGAGCAGTGGTTCTTGTCTTCTTTATTCCCAACAGAGTCATCATTTCCTTCCATAAATCCGATTCGAAATTGCGGCCCTGATTCGAGTATAGTTCTTGGGGTACTCCGTGTTTGGCAATTACGTTCTGAAACAGGGCTTCTGCTACCGTTTTAGCCTCTTGGTTGGGTAAGGCTACTACTTAAGGCCATTTGGAAAAGTAATCGATCACAACCATAGGGTACTTGTTACCGGATGTGGTCATAGGGAATGGTCCCAAAATATCGACTGCGATTCTGTTGAAAGGACACTCACTGAGGTACCGCTTCAACGTCCTCTCTGCCTTGTCTTCGGACTCTATCTCGAAGAGCACAGGTCACAGCGCTTGCACCACTCTTCCACGTCTCGATGGCAATTAACCCAATAGTACCTCTCACGCATTCCCGCTAGAGTTCTATTTACTACGAAATGCCCCCCAGTGCTACCATCGTGGAGCTTTCAGGAATACTCGGGATACACGTCTTAGGAAGGATCGTCTGGAATCTGTGGGTTCTTCCATCCGGGCTTTCCCATCTCCTAGTGAGTAGGTCATTTCGAATGCTCATGGAGTCCCATTGGGGCCAGTAACCCTTCTCCTGCTGGCCGTGTTTGGAAATCTGTTGCCATTCCGGTCTCGCTCCTTTGGCAATCCATTCTCGTACAGTTTTCAAGACGGGATCCTCCTTCTGCGCTACGATGATGTCTTGCCTCATCCGGAAGGTAGTGTCACCCTCAGAGGCTATTAACGACCGTACCACACCGTAGTCAGGTGATTCCTCAAATTGTCTGATCCTTACAGGTTGCTACCCTCCGGGTCAGAGGGAACCTGAAGCGGCGCGGCGGGAGGTAGGGGAGCTTATCTCTCTATCAGAGCTGTCCATAAAGGAGTCTCTGCCCGCTACCTTATCAAGTATGATGGAAAGTTCTTTTTCTGTTAACTGGGATCCTCAGTAACCCTTTTCGAGTCCGGCGATTCTTTTCGAAGTTCCCGAAAAACCTCTTCAAACTTTTTATCGACTACTGCAAGCTTTTTTTCAAGTTCTTCTTCAAATTTTTTTCGACTCCTTCAAGCTCCTACTTAGAATTTCTTTCAACCGTATCAAGCTTCTCATCGACTAGTTTTTTTAATCCCTCCGTTGTTTCATGAGAAGTTTTGAAATCTTCAAGTAAAGAATGTACATCTGATTGTATTTTTCTTGTTGCTCCTGAATATTTACCAGTAATTTACGATATTCTTCTCTGTTTCTTTCTTGTTTTTCCACAATATTCACATTTTCTTAAGTTCGTCGTAATCGACACTCATTGTTTTCACCATATGACAGAGAATTTTCAGTCAATTATTTCACTTCCGACACCAAATGTTACGTAAGTTTGTTTGGGTTATATAGAATAATAACTTGTCTGAATGAAAGAGTGGAGGAAATAATAAGTCTTTCTAGGTATTCTTTATTAGGAAGCAAAAATAACAAAAACAACCAAAATCATTGAGGTAGATAACATTCCTAAATCTAAAAAATCAATCTATATTCAACAAAAGGAACTTTTCTATAAGTAGTGCATTTCCAAATCTGGCAAGACTTCTTTGTACCTCAGTGCAATATTTTTATTCTACATATTCTACAGCTTTCTACCTCAGTCTGAATACGATGCAACGCAGTACAAATTTAAACTTCTTATATTTTCGACAGAGTTAAGCGACGTATTGTTTAAAGAAAATCAGCATTTTCTGTCAGAGTAGGTAACAGTATTTTTTATATAGTTTCCGAAAACTCTTCAGGAGAAAATCTTTAAATTATATTAGACTGAAAAACCTTATACCTAGATAATTTCGACCAACCGTAAAAATTACTGTCAAATGTCAAATCCTGCTGATGGCAAGAATACAGTGTTGCCAGTTTGTGCAACTAAAAGTAGTATAAACCAGCCTGAATTACATTTGAGCCTAGTGGAATATTTTGCTTGCTAAGCTGCTCCCATAGAACGAGTACATCCCAAATTAGTTGGAATTATGTATTTGACAAAGCGAAGAATTTAAACGGGTCACTTAGTGCTATGTGTATGAATACTATTTTCTCATCTTGACTATTTCCTTATCTTAATAAATTTTTGTTCGATTCTAAATAAGTTATTTCCACAGGAAATTGAATTCAGTCTTTATAGTTTTACTGGTAAGCATTATTAATTATGCCTGCTTGAGAAATAGAAAGCTGCAAAACAAGAATTACTTTTCAATGGCAGAAGAATATCGTAACTGAAACTAAACCTACTAAAAATATACTAGATTTAATTTGTTCTGTACAGTCCGTCGAAAAATCAGTAGACAAATAGTTGATATCAGATTCAGTCACTTCAGTATTTCGACCACAAGAATTTTTGAGGAACTCCTGGGCAGAGTCAGCATTGCAATTAATGCTATTGCATACAGACACATTTACTTTCTGGAAATACTTTTCCATTTCTGCGAAGAATTCGCAGTTCCAAGGATTTCCGTAGGTGAAAATTTCTTTGACCCCCGGTAAGTTTTCGTGAAGCGTTCGAAAGCTAAAGCTACTTAAGTTGTTATTACTGAGATCCAAAACAGTAAGAGAATTTTGTACTTCGTACTTGAAGGTAACTGTGAGATTCCTAATCTCGTTTCTGTTCAGCCAGAGATATCGTAAGTTAGGAATGTGGCTGAAGTAATTGAAATAGTTGACGTATTCAAACTTATTGCTAACTAAATCTACACTGTTAGAAATGTCTGTAAAATTACAAATGTATTACAAAACAAATGATCAGTTAAATTACAAATCACTGTGTTGCCAATACAATATTCAATACGATTTGAGTAATTTACCAAAAAATATTTGGAATCCTAGTCAACTGAGTCGTGATTTTACAATCATCATCAAATAACCCTAAACTTATTGTAATTTTACCAAACCGTAAGTCAGTTCCGAAAGAAATTTTTTTGAATTTACAACTATTATTTATGAATTGATTCACTTCAATTTTTTCTAAAATTATAAAAAAAAGTTGGAACTGGAATTAAAATGAAGTCATGAGAATTTTACAAAAACATTTAGTATTTTCAAAATTTCCATTTAGAAATTATATGTTGCTTTGTAACTTGGCCAATAGTTTTCATTTTTCTCACACGTATTGTAATTATACTGAACCGTTATTAAATTTTTCATAAAAAGTTTTCTAAACGTACGAATGTTATTTGCAAATTAGATCACTTAAATTTTTTGTGAATTGAAAAATATTTTTATAACTGGAATATCTATGAAGTCATCAAAATTTTACAAATACTTTCAGTATTTTAACAACTTTTGTTTGCAAATTCTAAAGTGCTTTGTAATTTGGCCAATAATTTTCATTTTTCTCACACGTATTGTAATTATACTGAACCGTTATTGATTTTTCCATGAAAAGTTTTCGAAATGTACAAATGTCATTTGCTAATTAAATCACTTTTAAGTTTTTTGTGAATTAATAAAATATTTTTGTAACTAATAAACATTTTACTAATGTTTTCATTACAATTTTCAGATTGTAAAAAAGTATATATCATTGTACTTATTGGTCACAATGCGATAATCAGAGTTGTAATAGTGTAATTTTTAGTACAGAAATGTGAGTTAGTGAAAGTTAGTGATAAAAGTGGTCAATCACTAATGATTTTCGGTGTCAATTCAATCATGTATACTCGTATAAATAGAAATTCGGTTCTAACTCAAAACAAATGAATATTTACGAATTCTAGGAAAAATCCACTAATTCATGCGATTATATATCAGAAAAAAATATCGCGAATTTGATCACTAACAATCATTTAAGGAAATTGATACGATGAATGAAAGTTTAGCCTCGAATGGAAGTTTTGTATCTATCTTCAGTAATCAATTCTGATTTTCTAGAAAGAACTAGATATCTCCCCATTTCTGATCAATAATTTAGTGTATTGTTTTATGTTAACATACTTCTTAACGCGTGTTAATAATCACAGAATAGGGCACTGCGTACGCTGTCATTATTTATTTCAAATTACTCTTACATTTTTAACAGTACACTTTTGGTACTGAAAAAACCTTATTCTCAAACCTTTTCCAAGTAAAAAAGGTACACTTCCTCAACAAC